AAAAGTGATTTTTTGGTTTACATTTTGGAAAAACAGAGTTATTCTACTTTATAATTCACACTAACCAGGGGAAAAATAAGTATATTAAATAGCTTTGCAGGCTAATGCAAACCAAACCACCCCCAAAAAAAATTTAAAAGCCAATCAAACAAAAAGACCCCAACCAACCAGTCAAAAAAACCCGTAACTTCACCTTAATACAATAAAAGCCTCTGAGAGCTAAAGTTTAAGAAATATGTAGAGTCAGATTACAAAGACACACTGGGAACAAACCCCAAGGATTTATTCAGGTGTCAGATAAAGCTCTCATTAAACCACAGATAATTCATGACACCAGGCCAAACCAGTATTTCTTCTAGAACAGATCAAATCCTTAGGTCAGTTTTAGCATTTTCTGACAATACTTTTTGTAAAGACTAAATATAATTTCCTTACAGTAACTTGTTTTGAATAAGCAACTTCTCAAATACATTATTGTAAAAGCACTTGAATCTTAAGAATGTAAGTAGCTTTTTAAAACATCTTAGAAACATGACTATATCTGATTAAAAATAACTAAATTTCAACAATTATAGAATAATTCTAATAGTAGCATTAATGAACTAGAAATAAACATTAAATATTTTTTGAAATATTGTGGTTAAGTATAGGTTGATTTATGTATTTTGTATAAGGTCACATATTCCCATTGCAGGACAATATGCATAAAACGGGCCAGTAGCAGTAAGAAGTAGCAAATATTAATCGTAAACATTTTATTTTATGACAGCTGTTGCTTTTGTTAGTGAGTACAAATCAGTTAAAGCCAAAGTCTGCTACTGTTTCTGAGAAGCACAGTTAAGTCTGCATACATGTTGTATTTATAGTTTATAATGATTTTTCTTTTTTCCACTTCTTTTTCAGATTCAGGATTTCCAGAAGTACAGGAGTTCAAAAAAAGAAGATTGATATATGAAAGAGTCCCTGGAAGAAGAGATGGACAAACACGTCTTAAATTCTTTTGAACAGAATGAGGATTTGCATATTACATACATTTTTCATTCTTGAACTCTTTTAAGGGAAATTAGTAAATTATTGTTGTTAGTTTTTAGAAAGTAATTAGGATTTGGAAATTCTTACTAGCTCAGGATCCTTCTGTATATTTTTAAAATGTTGCTAAACAAAGTAGTTTCTTGAAGCTAGATAATTACGGCTTCTCTGTTGTCATGTTGGCTGTGATATACAGGTACTTTATCACTCTTTATATTTAAAAAAAAAAAAGAATGGAAAAAGAAACAGATGCCAAGGCTCACTCTGGGTTTTCAAAGCATCTCTGTTTGCTCCCTGAGCCTGCTGTTTTTCCAATGTAAAGATGGGCTAGATCTGCCAGAATCTCAAGGCATCTCAAGGCTTCTCAAAGTCTTAGAGATTTCTTGCAGTTACTTTGTGTGACTTTTTTGAAACTGTCCCTTGGGCTCCATTCCACTTCTCTTCTTCTGACAGCTCCTTCAGGAATAATAGGTTCCTGAGCTCCTTCTAATCATAATCAGTCTAGGAAAAAGCTCTTTATTTTATGAACAACATGCTAAGATTGTGTTGAAATTTAGCATTCTCAAAGATTGATTCAGGGGACTAAGCTGTGACCTTCACCCTTTGCCAAACCTGCTGGAGGCCATTTGTTGGCATCCATATTTTTCAGCCTTCTGCAGGGCACTGGCAAGTTGGGGGATGAAAGTTATCTGGGAGGTAGATCCAGATATTATAGGGTACATCTTGAAGGGGTGAAAGATTCAATTAAAAAAAAAAAATCTATCTCACTTGTAATCTAAAGGACAGGATCAAATAATACCCAAACACTCAATTTCCATCAAAAGATTTGGCAACAAAACTGGAAATATGTGGGAGCAATGGTAGACAGTAACTCCATTCTGCCACAGGAATGGATAAACAGTTTGCACCAGCATGCCAGCCAGCTCCAGAATGTCTTTCTCTGTTCAGTGGCTTTCAGCTGAGATTATTCAGATTTCAAACTCACTAATCTTAAATTTGATGCAGTAACAGAAAGGTGGGAGGACAGGAAAGTAATAAAAGGAAAACCACCAAGTTTAAGGTTTATGCTTGCACTTAAAGCCTTATTTGATATAAAGCCTTCATTAAGCACATAGTCACTACTTGAGTAAATGAAACCAGCACTTAGGGGATAAAGATTTGGTCTCTCTGAGAAAACAGAGCTGGTTTTTGACTGTACTAACTGAAATTTTAGTTCACAGTAATGTCCCTGAATTATTTGTACACTGATTGTTTGCAAGATTTGAGAAAATACCCTTCACAAGTGGTAACATAAAGAGATTTCTAGTAAAATTGCAACAAGCCATTGTTTCCTAGAATAAGAGAAAGACTGCAATAAAAGTTGCAATTTGCTTACTATCCATGGCCCATTTTTGTGGTCACCAGACCTAACCATTTTACTTCTTTTGCATTATGGGTTATTTTTTGTACCTCCCAAAAAAACAGGAATCTGTTTTTTTTTAAAGTACAGCTCTACAAAGTCTCAGTCTCAAGTGACCACAGTTTGAGAAAACTATAGCTGCCAGTGCCCAACTATGTGTTTATGTTCTCCTCTTCCACAGGCAAAGGCTAACACCAGAACTTCCCTGTGAACAGTTGTGAAAGCATAGCATAGATAATCTGTAGATAACTTTGAAAACAAAGGCATGTTATGTACATTAGACAAAAAATTCAAGTGCTAAGTTTCCATTAGGTAGAAAAAATGTCAGTGTACAGTTAAATTACTGGTAATGTAGTGGAAAATAAGGGAAAGGGCTTGCAATGACTGTTGGTTTTTACTGTATTTGTTTATGACAAGTATCAGTCTCTCATAGATATGGACACATTGACAAATTTATAAAATACTACATTCTTCCCCCTCCTTTTGTCTGTTTAATGTGGAGTAAAATTACTGCTGAACTACAACCATGCTCTTCCCCACTCCCCCCTCCCCTCTGCCCCACCCCCACCCTGCCAAGTTACCTAATTCATTAATACCTATGAATTAGGAAGCAACTAGTTCATAGACAAAAAGGCACAGTACAAAAATCTAATCTTCAGTCTTACATAAGCAGTTAGGGACACTCCATTCCTGGAACCAGTTTATAAACATTTTAGTGACCAGGCAGGAGGCAGCTGTAGATGGAGAAGATCCGTGCTGATCAGCTGTGGGAGAGATGACTGAGAAAAGGGGGCTTGTGGCTCATGTGAGGCACTGAGCATACAAATGTGCGTACTCACTCCATCTTCTTTACCCTGGGCGTCCTGTAGGACCTGCTGCCATCAGATGGTATTGAAGGCTTCTGTGTACCCGATAGCTCTCTTGGATAGTCTTTGGTAGAGGAAGCTAAGATGCTGCACACAGTTGCCCACCTCACTGCAGATCACACCTGCTGGAGCAGAAGTGGCAAAATGTGATGCTTGCCCTGGTCTAAGCCCTTGCTGGGTTCAGTTCAGCAGCTGTGCAAACCCAGGTACAGCTGTAGAAAGGACATTGCCCTGTAGACTGGGTAGGTAAGGGACAACATGTTCTCCTGCCTACAGAAGCAGACAGCTGCCCCAGCTTGTTTGTCAGGTTCTTTGGTTATGCCAAGGAAAGGGGACTTGCCAAGCCGAGCCAAGTGGCTGAGATGCAGCCACTTCACCCAGCCAGCACAAAATAACCAGTAGTGGCACACTTCACAAAACTGATTGCCAACAGGAACCAAAGAACCTAAGTGCCAGCCAATCCTGGAGCTTGTTCTGATGCTCGACTTCTCTCACAGAACATGCCCTGGGAGGGTGGACGTAGCATTGCTGTCACTCCTCTCCCTGCTTCCACCCAGCAGCTCGGATACACGCTGCCCTGAGAGCAAAGAGGTTCCGCAACCAAACTCCTCTGAAGAGGCTGGAATCCATGTCTGAGAATAAACACCATGCTCAGAGGGACATCTGAGTGGAGTGTTCCCAAATCCATCTCACAACTGCTGCACAGATCTTCCTAAGTCCTTGCTGGTGCAAGGCACTGATGTAGCCAGGTCCTGCAATATGCTCACAGTGCTACTCCAGCTGTGTTGACCTGGTGCTCCAGCTGCAACAGACCAGATGGAGTTGGGCAGGGCAGCCAGGAGATAGCAGTGGTTGACTGGCTGTCTAGCAGTGGTGGCTCTCTGCTGCACACTGTGATTTGGTCACTCCTTGTGCCAGCTCAGCAGCCATTTCAAAACCCAAGCTCCAAGTGACATTGCTGAGCCTGAAGGTATGCAGCAGGGGCTCTGGGGAGAGAAGCAGGTGTGGAGTGTGGGGATGAGGGGAGGTTTTATCGCAAGAGGGAAAAGAAATATGAAGGGCTTGCCTGGGAGGAAGTAGGCAGCAGCTAAATGCTGGCTGTCCAAAGGCTTTTGATGTACTCACTTACCAGTATCTTTGACATTTTGGCCTCAAACCAAGCCTCTGATGGCCTCTGTGCAATAGTAACTTGGTTTTCTCCAGACTTCTGTACCTGTGTCCAGTACTAACAGAAAACTGCCATACTTAAATAGCCTACAGTGAAAGGAAGTCAGAGTGAAGAGAAGCTGTGAAGGAAGAATGTTTTCTTCGGTATTTAAAGGCACAATACATAGGGGCAGTATTACAGCTCTCATGTTGGTATCTTTCTGCGGGACAGCAACATGAAAATATTTGAACAAAGACTGAACTGCCTGGAGGACACTGTTGCCCCATTTCAGTTAACACACATGAACATTAAGTACTCAGAATGCAGAGTTCTCCCTTACGGCTTCAAAATGTGTGAGCCTCATAACACTGTTAATATTTACAACTGTGGTCAACAGATACGAATGGGATTTTTCTACTAAAAAGATGCAGTTTCTAAAAATCCAACAGCAACCATCTCTTCCCAAAAGAGCAAGGAGCTCGAGGCCTTCACTCCCACTGCAAAATCCATGTATCCTCTTCTTCACAGTAGCTGCTCTTTGTTACAATTAGACAATGAGTTCAAAGCCAAGAGGGATAGGAATTTTATTTCCAAACTTCTAAAAGATTAATACAAACAACAGGAAGTACACAAAATTAAAAACCTATTAAAAAGTTGTTCTTGTAAAAGTGCTCTATCAGAAAAGTGAAGGCAAATGACCAAGCACATTTTAAGTAAATTCTGTGTATTGCAAACCGTGACAACAATGCATGCAATTATCTTTGGGTGTTTACAGATTCTCAGTGTCTGTTTGGTAACATTTTAAATATGTCAAGAAAATGACAAAAAATCCACCACAGCAGTACTGTTACAAAGTAGAAGAAGGCTTACAGATCAGAAGTATTGCAAGAAATATGCTTTAGGAATCAGGCCTCTGCTACAGCAGTTACTAAAATATGTCATTTATGCACGCAGATGCACTTGAAAAAAAACTAAAGTTGGTTCCAGGTCTTGCTAATGGAAGCAAAATGTCTCCTGAGGACATTACTTCAGTTCTAACAGCATTTAGCTTTATACTTTAATTATTCACTTTTAGGTTGTTTTATTTTGGAAAAAAAATCCCCATTAGTAGTTTTTGCTATTATTGTGGTGTTACAGTTTATCAAGGTCAGAGTAAGTAATTTCATTAAAACTTCACATATTTTTCATTTCTAAAATGTAAACTTCTCAAGTAATATTTGTATAGTTAGCATAGTGTAGTAAAAGTGATGATGATTACAAAAAGAGTAAGAGTTAAATTAAAAAACTTCAAGAACATTACTAAAATATAGTGGAAAACAGATTCACAAGAACACACAGACAGATATCTAGGATGCTGTTCTAGCCGCATAAAAGAGACTTTTCTTGTGAAGGAAAGGCAGTTGTTATTCATGTGATGCTTGAAGGCAATCCTCCAATGACCTCCCCTACAAGAAGAAAAAACAAAGGCTTATTAAATGCCATCTTCTTAGGCTGATAGATATAATTTCTCTCATAAATTACAACAGAAAACCTCCTTTGCACTGAGAAAAACCAAAAAATGACCTTCCTTTGCTGGATGTGGACATTCTCACAGTATCATAACATTTTTAAATGGCTTTTCCTTTGCTCTGAATTTCCTATGATTCTAAGGTAACAAAAGAATAATAAACTAAATATTTGATCTATCAGTACCAAATGACATCTTGGGCTCAGCTATGCATTTTTAAAGTATCATAAATTAATCATCAAGTTTTTCTGAGAAAATATTTTGTAATGTATCTGTGTGATGTGATTACCTCAGAAATATGTATACACATACACACACAGACCCCCAAAAAACCAAAAAGTAGAAAGGCTGCTTAAACAACAGAAGAACATATGCAATGGTCATTAAAAATTTTATCTTATTTGCATGGAGAATTACAGGTGGCGCCCAAATTAAGAAAATTTGCTTTTGCTTCACCCTCTCTAAATTTTTCCAGAAGACCATCTCATGTTCAGTTGTTCCCTTTCTTTAGGTTCAGTCCTGTTTTGCTAAACCTATGTTAGCAACTATCGAAGACATGCTATTGATGAGGCAAAAGCTCAGGTGCAAGTTGGCAGCAGCAAGGGGAAAATTTTACGAGTACTTCATATTCTAGCTTAAATTCTGCCCTTAGAGAAGACACCGATTTTTTCTTTAATAGCACTCTCATCAAAAGAACAGACTTCAATGTTTCTTCCTCTCTCTGTAGATTATTCAGCTCTTTAGCAGAAATTATTTTTCTTTTTCTTTTTTATTTATTTGTGTGTCATGCAAAAGAAGTACATTTTCCAAATTATGGTGTGGTTCTGCCCAAGACTACTAGCATGCATGGCCTTTCTTTCTCCTGCTGCAATCACTGATAACCTTTGTGACAAATGGGAGAGGCCAGACTGGGAATCATGAAACTGGATCCCAAAGGTTTGCAAATGTTGGACAGCCACCCACCCACCTACTCTACAGGTGTTACAGGGGTACAGGCAGAGTTTAGGGAGTAGCTCATCTTTTAGATCTGTGCTGAAAAAGGTTACGAAGGATGTGACTACAGATTGCCTCAACTCCTCTCTGCTTCCACTGCTTTTGGTGCTATACCAACAGTAAGAACAGAAAAAGCCTAAGGACAGACACAGCAAAATGAACTGCGTATGACATTAAAGACCTACATGTATTTTAACATGATTCTTAAGCTGTGAGCTAGTCATCAGAACATATAAAATTGCCACAATTTTGTCTTACTTCTCCAAGCTGGGTATGTGACTCTCTACTGTCCAGCTATGTCAAACATAGCTGTGCGTCTTAGACAATGTTAATTACTTTGGATGCTGCTAATTACCTTATTGCTGCACAAACACAGAAACACAGCTATCCCAATAAAAAACCAACTCATAAAGAAAACACCTCTAGAAAGAGCTGTAGAAAAGAGACATGCTTCAACTGCCACACCTAAAAAAAACAGAAAGTCATTCACAGAGCCAGCAGAGAAATGATGAACACCTAAGCAAGAACTCAACACTTAAAACAAGTATCACCATGTGTCTTTGTCTCTCCAAGGGCTTGAGTTTCAAATTAGGGTGGTTGTCATGGCATCTGTGACTTTATTACCTGATTTCAGAGCAGAGCACAGGATCGGGGTTCACGGAAGGGATTGCTCCCTGTGGGAACCCCAACAAGCAAGGCATCTTTGCAAGCATTTTGCATACAGTACTGCTGGAGTTCTGCAGCTGCCTGAGAGACCTGAAAAGGAAAAAAAATCCAGAGGGGAAACTAATTCATTCATAAGCATCTATTAAGCATTTCCTCTTGAAGAGCTATTGTCAAACAGAGCTGGAGTGCAGCCAAGTCACCTCTCAGATTCTAGAACATCAAGTATATCAGCACAGAAGCAGAATTTACAAAGGTCTGATGAAGCACATATGAAATACTATGCCAGTGATAAGCCAGACGAGTGTAGAGGACTGAGGTTTGAGGTTGCCAGTGTGATGCAATTTCTTCCCATTAAAATGCATAGAGCTATGATGATTTTATAATGTACTGTGGTGCTTGGAGGTTTATATTTGAACTCTTATATCCTCTGATAGTTTATCAAAATTATTTTCATTCTGAAGTTCTAAACAACAGAGAGCATTACAAGGAGTGAAAGCAAAAAGATGAGGATGAAAAGCTTTTGAAGTCCAAATGGTCATTTTCCCCCAGCAGTGAAGTCAGAATTTCAAATCCACACTCTGGCCCCATAGAAGGAGAGTCCAGAGCTGCAGAACAAGTCCAAGATCCCAAAGGCAAAATGTCATCAGCACTTAACTCCCCTGCTCTCTCTCCCTCCTTGTGGATGGCAAGTCAGTCATGTGCCTACATTTTTGAAGGAAAATGTAGAGGAATTTCCAGTTTCCCAGACACATATTAAGAACAGCTGCAGGGAACTGTCAAAACCCATGCTGTCTGATACATATTTATAAAAGGAAGTACTAAATATATTGATGGAACTGTAAGTTTCCCTCTGACCTCACCTCTGCCTTTGTTATAGGTCTCCTGAAATACTGACTTTTCTTCCTACACAACTCTGCAGTGTTGCCAAAACAATAACCAGAAGGACCATCCACACTTCCCAGCCTCCTGTCTGCAGGAACCACCCCAGAGCCCCAGTGGAATTTTGGTTCTGGGCCATCCCATCTAACAGCATCTGGAGACACAGGAAATCTGGCTTAGCACACACTTTTGTTTGGTACTTTGCTGCTCTCCTGTTCACTGTCTTCCAATTCTTCTCCAGGCTCTCCTCCAGGACGCTCATCCTAGTAATTGCCTGAATTTAGCCAGCAGTTGATGGCACTTCAGCGAGCTGTTACGAGAAGATTTTTTATCTCAGCCTCCCAGGTTCTCTTGAGCACAGTACAGGGAGAAGCATCTGCAGCAAGGACTCCTGCTAAGTCAGCAGCCTTTGTCACTCCTTCCTTACCTGAGGAGAAGCCCTTTCTAGAGGCTGCAGAGGTCTCCTGCCCTGCCCAGCCCCTTGGATCCTCTGCAGCATTAGCACGCTTGCCTCAACCACAGCACCTACCCCTTGTGGCGCCTGACTGTGCACCAGTGGCTATCAGGCAGAGATTCCACTAGCCAACACTGGTCAGGCCAAGGCTACATGGAGTTTTTTCTGTTGTGAGTTAGCGGTGCCTACAGCATCTCCTTGCGCTTTACTGCCAAACCCTTCAACACAGACTGAGCTATGTATATCTTGGTATATCCTCAAAAGATATAAACCAGAACTGCCTACTCTTAGTCCCACCTATGCCCTGTAACATTCTTCTTTTCTCACAGAAAATTTCTGCAGTATTTCATCACATGACAAACACACTCCCTTCAGCAGCCTCTGCATGCAAGATGTGTGTGGGTACTTCTTCCTACTCAGTTTCCTCTTTCTGAAAATATTGTTCCTGTCTGCTTTTTTAGCCAGCAGGGTAAACAAAATCACCATTGGAACTTGGCAGAATGGAATGTATTTTTAAAAATCCTTTCATAACCAGCTTCCGTCTGGAAACACATTGTCTATTCGAAGTAGCTGAAACAACATTTTCTCCCATCTCAGTGCTTGCTAAAATGGAACCAAGTAGTTTTTATCAGCTGAATATATTTCACGTTATTTTTGTACTGTATGTATAGAAACACAGATGACACCATTTATGTGACATGTTTTTAATCACGTGTCATTTCAAAGCCATGAACAGGCTGCTAGAACAGCAGACCTGGAAAGAGACTGCTGTGCACATTGCTGCAAGAAAGATGAGTCTGAGGTCCATCAGGGGACAAGCCTCCCTAGATTATGACACCAAACTCAAAAAATACGCAGCCTTGAGAAGTCCAGCTCCAGAATGTGTTACTGCCACAAAGTAACACCTGTAAAACTATGTATTTTATACACAAAAAAATAGTGGGGAGGAGTGTATAAGTATTTTGAGTTATGACTCAAAATGAGCAGGAACAGAGATCCAGGCACCAACAATAACCAGTGGGTAGTCATCTCAGTGTTTGACAATACTCCTCTTGCCACAAGAGTCTACATTTCTACTCTGAAACATGTTGTTTTTCACATATTCCCACACTTTACTGTGGTGATAAGCACAGTAATTTTTAGTGAATCAAGCATCTGCTGATTCTGTTTTGCTACAAAAATGTAGTAACAAAACCAAATTGATCAGAATTATATCCAAAAGCCAGAGTGGTTTCACCTTGCAAAGAGCAAGTCAAATTTTCCCCAGCTTGGGTCAGGAGTACTGGGAACAAGTATTTTGAAGTATTTTAAAATCAATTAGCTAAGTTCCTGCAGCTCAGTATGCTGGCACTGTCGTCAGACTAAGGAAGCAAGTCTCTTTGTGACTGACTTTTCTGGCCAGAGAAAAATGGCGAATGCTAGCAGAGAGACGAGAAAGTGCAGGATGTAAATTAATTTGATCTCCATCACTTCACAGACTATGCTGGATTTTGTGCACATGATGAACCCTCCATATCTGCTGGAAAGCAAGAACTGTCTCGGTCAGGTCACCAAACCTGAGGAGCTGGCAGACGATAGAACCGCTTCGTCATGCTGCCTTTGTCTGGAAATGTGCAAGCAGGAGAACATTCATGCATGTGTAGCAAATCGCCTGCCTTCCCCAAGAGTGCCAGCGGGTACCACCCCGCACCGCCTCCCTCCGCAGATCCTGCCAGCGCTCCGAATCGGGGCGGGGGAAGAGTCGGGCTGGCTCCGCTGCGAGGAACTACTGCCAGTTATCTGTTTGCTGGGGCAGAACTAACGAGGAGCTGCTGTATTATTTATCCCGTCTCCTTCCACCAGAGAACGGCACTCTCTCCATCGCTCCCGTGCGGCCGGGGCTCGAAGCCCGCCGGGCACACGCACCCCTCACCCCCTTCCTTCCCCTGGCGGGCGCCGCCGACCAGTGCGGCGGGAAAGGAGAGAAAGGAGAGGAGCAGCTCCTCTCTCCCGCCCCACCGCGGCACCCCGCGCCCCACCCCGGTCCCGGGCGCCCCGCACCCCGCGCCCCGGCTCACTTTGATCCTCTCCACGGCCGCCTCCAGCTTCAGCTGCTCCACCAGCCGCTGCATGGTGCTCAGGCTGCCGCCCGACGACATAGCGAAGCCGCAGAGAAAGCGGCGGGGATGGAACGGCGCGATTCCGGCGGGCTCGGCTCCGTTCCCTCCGCCCCGGGGAGGGGCCGGGGCCGGGGCCGCTCCGCCCGCAATCCCCGCGGACCGCCCCGACTCCCAGCCGGGCCCCGCCGCTCGGAGCCGGCTGCCGGAGCCGCTCGGGGTCGGAAACCTGCGGGTTACAGCACGGCCGAAAAAAACAAAAGGGAAGAAAAGGAAACAAAAAGTAAAGTGGGAAGCGGGGGGAAGGAGGGGCGAATTAAAAAAAGAGGGGGAAATGGGAGGAAAAACAGGGAGGAATACTGATAGGAAAAAAGAAAATATGAAAAAGAGGAAAAACGGGGGAAAGGAGAGAAAAAGGAAAAAAGTGGGGAAAGGTAGAAAATAAGTGGGGGAAAGAACAAGGAGAAGAAGAGAGGAGAAATGGAATTCACAGAGTCATAGAACAGTTTAGATCAGAAGGTACTTTAAATATGGTCTAGTTCTAGCCCCACTATTTTGGGTAAGGATGCCACCCACTACATCAGGTTGCCCAGAGCCCTATCAAACTTGCTCTTGAGCAATGACAAAGATGGAATTCTAAACATGTCTTCTGCCCACAGGCATCTGTTAGGTTCTGACTGCCCAGCAGCTGCTGCCAGTGTTGCTTCATCTCCTCACCCAGAGAAATCCTCTCACTTTTTGGCAGGGGTTTGCCATCTATTAGTTTGTTGGCTTGTTTTAAAAGTTGTTGGAATTAAGCTTATAGCCTAAAATGGTTGCTCTGAACATAAGACAGGACAAGCAGAAGGTCAGGCCCAGCCAAATGGGTTTCTGGAAGACGAATCCTGCCTGACCAACCAAATGTCCTTCTATAGCAAGGTAACACAACTAGAGAATGAATGAAAGGCTGGGGATGTTGTCTACCCAGATTTCAGCAAAGCCTTTGACACCATCTCCCACAGCATTCTCCTGGAGAAGCTGTCAGCTCATGGTGTTTATGAGCGAACTCTGGGTTCACTCTGCTGGGTAAGAACTGGCTGGATGGCTGGGCCCAAAAAGTTGTGGTGAATGGAGTTAAATCCAGCAGGCAGCTGGTCACTAGTGGTGTTCTCCAGGTGTCAGTATTTGGGCAAGCCCTGTTTAATGTCTTCATCACCTACCTGGATGGGACCATAAAGTCCATACCCAGCAAGTTCACAGATGACGCCAAGTTGGATGGGAGTATTGACCTGCAGGGCAGTAATGCTCTTCAGGGGGACTGGGACAGCCTGGATTGATGGACTGAGGCCAATTGTGTGAGGTTCCACAAGACCAAGTGCTGAGTGATGCTTTTGGGTCACAACACCCCAGGCAGTGCTAGAGGCTGGAACACAGTGGCTGGAAAGCTGCCTGGCAGAAAAGGATGTGGGGGTGCTGATGAAGAGCAGCTGAACATGGCCTAGCATGTGCTCAGGTGGCCAAGAAGGACAATGACATCCTGGTCTATATCAGCAATAGTGTGGCCAGCAGGACCACAGCAGTGATTGTCCCTCTGTACTTGGCGCTGGTGAGGCCACACCTCATGTCATGTGCCCAGTTCCAGGCCCCTCACAACAAGAAAAACATTGAGATGCTGGTATTGCCAAATTTTTGGAACACTGACATTTTAGGAACACAGACAAATGTTTAGGTCCAGAAAGGAGATATTTCTTTATTTTACAGAAGGTGCAAGGTACAAGTTTTCCTACTATCTAGCACACCAAGGAGTAAAAACCAAGAGAATTTATACACATAATTTTACATAAACCTGCCTATTCAATACTTTGTTACCACCTACCTCATGCATAGTAATTTAGTTTGCACAGCCTTATGATGTGTCACCATGCCTGCATGGGCCTCTTCTGGGGTCTCCGGTGGTTGCTCTTGGTCCTTTGGGGAGGTGCCCTCTATGAAGTTTCAAGCAAAGTTTAGCTCAGGTCCAGCAGAACGATGGTCTTAATGGTCTTTTCCAACGTTAATGATTCTATAATTCTGTAGGGACAACCAGGAATGCACATGCTTGTGCCTCAGTCAGGGCCTCAGCATGGTCATGGAAAAGACACTGAATCTTCTCCAAGATCCTAATACTTTGCAACCCTTTTCTCCATAATGATCTCGTCACTACACAGTACCAGCAATACTACAAGTGTAGACATTTCTCTCTCAAGTCATTTGAGAGAAATGTCTCAAGACATTTCTCTCAAGTCAATTCAACCTACACTGGCTATGCTAGGCCTACTATTGTAACTCCCAGCAGTCTCTGAAAATTTATGCCCAGAAGATGGACATAATTTAGAACTACCATGATAGTCTGGAAATGTCTAGTAACCTCTGAAAATTTATGCCCAGAAGATGGACATAGTTTAGAACTACCATGATAGTCTAGAAATGTCTAATAACCTCTGGTAAAGAGATGTCACTGCAGTGCTGACAGCTTTCTAAAGACATCCGAGTTTTTTATATCCTTTGTCACAAAAATGTGACTGAAGTGTTTCTGCCCAGCAAATTTTTGCTGCATTCTATGAATTTCTGTCTGCTTCTGATTATTTTCAAAGGGGTGACATGTCTAGAGAAAAGGGAACTCCAAAATGAACTCAGTAAAATGGTCATTTCCAGCAGGTTGTATGATACATTTGACTTCTCCAGCCACTTGCTATCAGGCCAGAAGTGTTACAGAGGCAAAACACCATTGCCACTGAAAGATACAGCTCTGTCCTCTGCCAGGACTGTACCTCCATTGCATTGATTTCCACTATACCATCAGGTCATGAAATCCACCTTGATTATAAGGAATGTAGACATCAAGGGAAAACACATCTGTATTTCAGCTTCATATTTGTATAACCCAGGTATTTTGCTTGGAAAAGGACAGAGCAAAATGCTGCAGAAGGTCAAGAGCAGCAGAGCTATTAGCCTGTGAAACCTCACACACAGGTTTAGATCCTCTTGAATACAATTGCCTTGTACATTTCCAGATGTAACTGTCCTTTCTAATAATCAGGATCTATATTTCTGCTTAGCTTCATTCTCTGTTTCTACCACAGCAATTTATTCTTCCCTCTTCCATTCTTGCAGGACACTGACTGTGTTTTGGAGGATGAAGAAGCAGTACACCAAAGCTGTGGTCTCTGACTTCATATGCATCTTTGCAGTGTCCCTAAGATTACTTCATGAAAGCAAGCACAGCTTTTTGTGCATATCTTCTTTAACAATTTTTAGAATTTATTTGATAATTAAATGCAAAATGAATTAAGTTCAATGCTACTCTGCATTCAACAAAGATTAAGGAACAATCTAGCAGTTTCTCTTCAATTTTACTACTTTGTACAGAGATTCAGCATTATATTTCTATCATGCTTTTCTGGCTTCAGCTGGGATAGAGTTAATTTCTTCTCAGTAGATGTTATGGTCTTGTGTTTTGGATGAGAGGGGTGTTGATAACATACTGATGTTTTGGGTTTTGCTAAGTCCTGTTGTTCCAAAGTCAAGGACTTTTTATTCCCTCCTTTTCTCATGCTCTCCCAAACCAGGAGGGAGCATAGCAGGGACAGGTGACTGTAACTGGCCAAAGGGATATTCCACACCATAGAAGGTCATGCCCAGTACCTAAACTGGGGGCAGTCACCAATCTGGGTTTGAGAAGGGGAGTCTTGCATCAGTCAGTAGGTGGTGAGCAATTGCATTGTGCATCAAGTGCTGTTTTCCCTTTTTGTTACCATTGTTATATTATTTTACTTTATTTTCAATTATCAAATTGTTCTATTTCAACATACCAATTTCAATTCAGCTCTTCTTCCCACCTCTCTAAACTGTCCAGCTTTTTTGCAACAACATGCTGGCTCCCAGTAAAAAGACCAGTTGAGTTTCAAATGTAGTCAAAGGATATTCAAAATCTTAAAATTTTTTGACTACTCTTATCAGCCTGGAGGGCAAGGAAGGAAAAAAGGAGAGGGAGAAAAAAATTAGGAAGGTGTTCCCCTCATAGGCTGTTTCTCTGAGGAGAAAAATACAATTATTAATCATTCACAGTAAAGAACTCCCAGAGCACAGAGGTGCCTGTACACATGCACCCAGTTGTTGTGTATGTATGGCCAACATTGTCATATCATAGTCCCATCCTACAAAATACACCTCAGAGAACAAGTACTAGTATCACTGGTATCACAATACAGAAAAAATGTCACAAATACGAGAGCAAATAAATCCACATTGTAGCTAGCAGCTGTTAAACTACAACGATTAATGTTTATAACAATTTTCTTTTAAGACACTTTCAGACCTGCCCTTATATCAACCTTCTGGGTCCATGATCAGGTGCAAAAAGGACTGTTGTTGTTTAAGGCCAGATGGAAATGAAGCACAAAGCAAACACTTGCTCAACTCCACACCCTCTCTCCACCTCCAACCCAGTGCAACAGGGAGAAGGTTCGTGTAAAATTCATATGTTGGGATAAGAACAGTTTAATAATTGAAAAGAAACTATAATAATGATAATAATAATAATAATAATAATAATAATAATAATAATAATAATAATAATAATAATAATAATAATAGTAGTAGTAGTAGTAGAAAGAAAACAAGTGATCTACAATGCTCACCACCTCGGGCTGATCAGACTCCTCCTTCCCAAATCCAGCACAGTTGCCATTCCAGGTAACTCTTCCCACTTTATATACCAGGCATGATGTTCTCTAGTGTGCAATATCCCTTTGGCCAGTTCAGGTCACTTGTCCCAGCTTGGGTTTTTTTTCTGTATCTTCTCACTGGCAGAGCATGAGATAAGGAGCGGGGGAAATGTCCTTGACTTTGGATAAGCACAATTTAGCAAAAAGCAAAACGTTGTTGTGTTATCAACACCATTCTCATTCTAAATCCAGAGCACAGCACTATAGCAACTACTGAGAAGAAATTAACTCTGCCCTAGCTGTTACAGGAACAGCTGAATAGTTTGGAGTGGCAGGGTTCATGGGATTTTATGAGTAAGTATATAGGGCAGTGGGCACCTTCAAGATATTTGCACCTTACCTCTGAGCAAGTACAGAATCCAGAAACTAGTAAACT